CGCTGGTTTTGGCGAGACACTCTTACTGCAACATCGAAAAATACAAGAAAAAACATTCAGTACAGGAAAATACACTTTGAAAAGAAAATTATTAATAATCAGCTACGTTTTAGTATACAACAATCAAATAACACAAAACATTCGGTTAGTAGAAGAAATATCGATGGACAAACGAGAGGGATTTTGAAGATCTAGAACTATTTCAGAAAAGTTGAAGAATTTTCTTAAAAAAAAAACGAAATTGCAAAATTTCTTCCAACTTTATTAACCAATTTAAATTTCTGTCCATCGGTTTTTCATAAACTCATTTTTAATTTAAATTTTAAACGATAATCGAATAAACGTGTCTAAATAGAGAAAAACGTTTATTTGAATATCAAGCGTCCACAACGTCGTCCTAAAAACTGGTAATAAAGCCATACATTTTAGGACGAAATAATAATTTTATAATCTTCATTTTAAAAGAAATTATGTTTTTCATACTTATGGCTAGAATATTTAGAACATTTTTCAAAGACTACTAAATACCAGTATATACTTATAAAATATAGAATACACATTATTTGCAATTTTAAGTTTTGAATATCATGTGCAGCATTGAATGAATAAGTCATCATTCTATAAACTTTTCTTTAAATAAAAGTTTATATTTTTTATCTCACTTCTGTATAATAAGGCTGAGAATAAATAAATATTATTAAAATGTTAAAAATGAATGATATATGTAGTCTTTGAAAAATGGTTTATTTACATTTATGAATCCTTTAAAATGCGTTTAATATAAAAAGTACAGTTATTTGAAAGCGTTGGCTAAAACGTGTTAGAATTTTGATTACATTGACACAGACAGGGCTCAAAATCCTAGAAATAAATGCAATATGATTAGTAAATTATCATCAAATTTATGCCAATTTCAATCCATGCTGAAATAAAAACGAAGTTAACTGAAATATAACAATATTAATACTGTATATTAATCAGAAAGATATTTTAAAAAGCATATTATACAGATTTCACTAATTTTAAATATACTTTCTATTCTTACACAATTGTTGCATTATAAAAATATTAAAATATCGAGTAAATCCTAATTTGAACGTTTTACGATATATATGAAATTAAATATAAAAGCAACATTATATTTGTAGAGAAGAAACTAGTACGGAGTTTCTTTTACTAATATCTCTCATAAAATTATTTTAATTAAAAAAATATTTATACGAAGAATCAGTGTATAAAATCATTTCTAAAGAAATTATAAGTGCAACGTCATAGAAAATCGATGAAAGTGCGCAATGAGCAATGAAAATGCACCATGAAAATGCAGTTTAGTCATGTATGAATTTCCCTATGAGCAATAAAAAATTAATAAATCAAATTTCACGTTTAAAACAGTAGTTTGTTTAAAAGTACTTTAATTTTAATTCATATTTTACGAATAATTATAATTAGTAAAAATTAATCACCATCAAGCTGATTCTATCTACTGACAATCTTTGCTGAACAGTATTATGACTGAAATTTACTGTTTCCATTTTTGTATGTTGCAAGCGCAAGTTTTGCTCATGTACAATTAATTTTATTAAACAATATTTTTGCTTGAAAATATTATCAATTACCCATATTTTTAATAATACAGAACTTCAACGTTCTAATTTTCCATTTGTGTGCAACACTTTTCCGGCTTTCATTACTAGAAGAAATTAATAGATTTATAAGTAATTAAATAACACTGTTTGGTGTGATTTTAGTACCTGTAAAATTTAGTGATTGATTTATGAAATAGAGTATAAAATGTGAATGATTGAATGGTTTGGAATGTTATATGGTGATGTGGAATAAAATAGAGCGATTATATATAAAATAAATATCTACATTTGTCTAAAAATAGATGAAACTTCTCAATTTTGGAATATAGATGATTATTTAGATAGCAGTAGCGTCAATTTTGAACAATTTTGTGTTGAGGTCTATTTTTTTTGGAATAAAGACAAGAAGAATACTTTAAGATTACCTTTGGAATTAAATCATTAACTAAATATTCGTAATAAGTCATTTTAATTTTTTTCAATCAGAGAGTACTTCAATTTAAAAATCTTTTTAGCAAATATATCACAGACATGCATACTAACTAAAAATATTAAATTTTCATACCAAATCAAATTCGTTTTTAATCTAAGTTAGGATAATTTTACTCGTGCAAACATATTAATACAACATGAAGTTTTAAGGGTTAATTTTAGAACAGTTATATATTTGCATACCACTGGGACGTTTACCGATTAATTCAAAATCGAAAAAATTCAAAAAAGTGTGTCAAAAAGTGGAGTATTTACAGTTGTGTCATTTGCACTAAACAGATCGAGAAGTTACTTAAACAAAAATAACTTGACAATTGATTTATATCAATCAAATTTAAATTTAGATTAAAATTTATTGAATTGTAACTTTCGATCATCTTTCAAGTGCATCAGAAGTTTCCAACGCGCATCAATCATTTACTCACAAAAATAATATAAATTCAAGTATTAATATGAATTTCCAGGTGATTTTTAATGACCACATAATAATGCTTTTATCATATATTAAGAATCATTTTCTGAACCAGTTATTCTGAAAATTTTCAATGACCACATAATGCTTTTATCATAGAATAAGAATCTTTTCCTTTCAATCGTTGGAAACATCTGGTTTAGTGTATCTTCGTGTGAGTATGTTAAAAGTTGTTTAGAAACTGTATGTTTGGATGTGTGACTTTTATTCATATACCTTGGTAAAATAGTTTAAATTTGTTTTGATTATAAATTTGTTCTACTGTATCATAGTCCCTTTCCTGTGCAGGCTGTTAAAGAATCGGAACTGTAGCCGCTCAGTAATGTCTTTGCGTACTGCGGGCACAAGAGAGAATACAATCCAAAATAGTTTCACATTATAAAAAACATCATAATTCATTTATCTTTTACTTATTGATTGATTTACTAATCGAATTTTGTATTAGGGTACGAGTTTATAAATCCTAGCAATACCAATTATTATTAACAATTGTTAAATACAAGTAAAGTACATCAGCTAATGAATAAAATGATTAGAAAAGTTCTTCTTCGTGTAATATGAACCTAATACTTAAAACAAACTAAGAAAGGTTTATGGGATTTCACATGTACTTGAGATAAATAATTAAATATTTAAAACCTATTTAGAAAGACTTATGTTTCCTTATTATTAGATACAACCAGAATTGCAATGAGTTCCAATGGCTAGAAATTATGCTTCTGACTTAGACTTAGTTTAAAATCTTTGAATATTTTAATTGGCTTTAAAAGTGTAGAGCTTTGTATTTCAGTTTAAAATAATATTAACAAAAAACCACAAAAACACTACACATAAAATCTAAAATCTTCACTGGCACATCACAGCTGTGTGCATTTTCTAGAGTCGAGATCCATGTTTGAAGAAATTATTAATTATAAAGCAACAAACATCGAAAAACAGTAAATTCATCTCATTTTCTAGTTCTCAATTCCTGTGTTAGCACATTAATCCATCAGCAACAAAAATAATATTTATTATATCAAATGGTTGAGGAAAAATGTCATGAAGTAATTAATACTTTAAGCTTCTGAGGCATTGAGAAAGTGACCGAGCTCCAAATGTTTTTGCAAAAACCACAAAGTAATAAGATGATATTAATTAACAATTGGGTGTAATCAAGTTGAAATAAATAAATAGAGGGTAGAAATATTCAATGGCTTTGAATATTGTAATAATATTGAAATAAATTCCAATAAGGATATAGACAGTGTGATGATTATTTGAAAAAAAAATTCAGTCGATATATTTATCTCTGTGCTCAGAAGACAATGATGTTATCATGATATTGATGTCTTAAACAACATGATTGATATTGTACTAACATCAATTATAATTCTATATAATTATATCATTGATCCTCAGGGTTGATATCTTGTTCTTGTTCACTGTTAATGTTCTCTAAATCAGTTTCACTATTTTTCTCAGCCTCAATCACATTTTGGCTATAATCATTTTGTTTTTCGCTGTTTTCATTATTTCTGGGATCATCAACAATTTCATTTTGAATAAGCTCAAGTGCACAATCAACATTTTCCGTAGATGTTAGATGTACATCACCATTTTTGTTGTGTGCTGAATTGTTTGCTTCCAGGCTTTTTCGAGGCAATTTTAGTTTGAAAGAAGTGCTTATGTTTTCAATGACTTTATTCATTCGTTCTGCACAATCAAGACAGAGGACAAATAAATAAAAACATTTTAGTTCAAAAATTACAGTAACAGCTTGGGTATGTGTAGTATTGTGTATTTAAATGTTGGAAACATCATCTGTGTCAATCTAAGATATATCTGAGTGAAGAATGTGCATTTTAGGAAGTGAAGCTATAGTGTTTCAATTAAATATTCACTTAAACAAAAAATGTTAAGTGACTCTTAAGACAAATAATATTTCAACAAATATTATTCTGTAAAGTACTGTTGTTCAATTGATGCAGTATGTCATTTTGGAAATAAATCAAAATGTGGGATTCAATATCAAATATTCCATAATAGAAATAAATATTTTATTCTAAGAGAGTCCAAAATAATCTTTCAAGAAAATATTTGCAATTAAACAGCTGAAAAAAATGATTTTGACTCATTTACAAATTTCAATTTACCATATTAATAACTATAGTTATTATAATAATTATTGTCTAGTGAATAAAAAATAATTATTATAGATATTAATAATTATTGTGATTGTGCTTATAAATTTTGAATTAAGCACTTTGCTATTATAAAAGACTTAGAATTAAAATTTATTACACCATCATTAAAAAAGCAAATAAGACGATCAAAGAACATCTAAATTACTGAATAGGAATTATTTCATCATCAATGTATACCCCAAAAATTTAGGAGTATATAGATCTGCTGTTTAAAATCTAAAGGCTATTATAAATAAATAATAATAGAAAATTGGTACTCACTCCTGTCAATGTTCCTTTGCAAATGTGCTGAAATGCGATGCCTAGCATCATTGTATTCCAAGTGGAGACCAAGACGAAGTAGTGTTGGATTTTTCTCAACTAAATCTGTAATTTCCATCTCTATCTTATTGCCAAGAACAGATGCCCTCTAAAAATATAAAGACAAAATATATTTCAAGTCAAGATGGAGAAACAAATATGACCAAGACAGGAAGGAATGGATATTATGAATTAAGACTTGAAAAAACATTTATCAATATAAAACAATACTAATAACATTAATATGAAATAATATCATCTAAAAATATGATATCAGAGATTTCTTACTTGGTTAGATGCTCTGAATTCCTCCACACTCTTAGTTTTCAGCAGTGATTTAACCAATGTAACAATCACAGGTGGAGATATAAAGTTGGTTTCAACATTGACTACTCGCAATGTGTTGTTTTGTTCTAATGCTTTGGCTAATTGCAAGGCCAAACGATCTGTTAGACCAACATTGGAAAGTGATAATACTTCCAGATGTGTATTAGAAGGTAAAGAATCAATCAGCTGCTCAAATTTCTCATCAGAGATATTCTAAAAGAATATAAACCTGTTAATTTAATGCTTATATTAAATTAGATTTCCAAAGTGATAAAGTCTACCTTAATATTATTCCAATTCATATCAATTAACTTGTGATCATCCTCTTTAACCTGTTTGATGCTATCATCGGGGTCTGTAGTGTTAGGAGGATCTTGTGGATAAATTTTAGGTTTTGATGCTTTTGTTATACCATCCCAACCCATTCCAAGAGGTTGGCCTTTATTCAGTAAAGAAGCATGGTATTGATCTTGATTCATCATAGAGTGGAAGCCCAAGATAGCTAAAATATATATATAATATTGAAAAAGTTCAAATTGTCTCTTCTATAGAAAAAATAGATCATACCAGCTAAATCAATAATTTCTTCTTGAGTGGCATCAGATAAGGCGGTCTCATATTCATCACCTAAGTCAATAGCAATTTCTTCTTCAATTTCCTTTACTTTAGCACTTTCAGGAGGTGGTATCCACTACAAAAAGCATTCAACAATCAGTTTTATAAATGATTTATTTGGATTATTTAGATTATGATCAATTCATGTGCTTGCCTTTTTCCCTCTTATGGTACCAGCCACATAGGGTTTCAGTTCGGGAATATCTGGAGTTTCTAGAGCTTGTTTATTGATGTGGTCAATTAATTTTTGGCGATTTAGTGGTCCAGTTGCTTCTTTCTCACACTCATAACTGCATCTTTGACTTGGTGGCAAGAATGAGTCCTATTTAAATTAAATTCAAACATCAAACATTTAACTAGTATTATTATAAATTCATATTATTATGATAATGATTAGAAATTCAGTCAATACTTAATGCTTACATCTGGATCTACTTCTTTCGCTAATATATTTATCTCTTCAGGTGATAGTTGTGATAAAAGTGTGTCTACATCAATTTCATCGTATTCACTCAGATCTTTTCCATACAATTTTGCTGGAGTCGTCATAGTAGTTTTGGTTGTTGTGGAAGAGGTCTGAAAGGTGAAATTGATACTAGTAAAACTTGCTTAATATGGATATAAAAGCAATTTGAATAAAACTTCCATGAACAATAAACTAAATTATCATTCAGAAAAACGTTTAACTATATACATACAACTATAATCTAACTACATTCATATATGTAGAAATAGTGATATTTTGCGTAAAAATCAATTATTAGGGTAACTCGTTTCAAAATATTACTAAGTATTTTACAAAATTAATATCAATACAATAAATTGCTCATAAAATTTTAGGTTACAAAACAAAATTCAATAAGTTTTAACCTATATTATAAATTGAAATATCGGTTACATCCTTTTCTAAATCCGGAAATATAATATAGAATTCAAATTTTATTCTACGTTATTTTCATTTATTCAATTAAAGCGATTACATCAAATTGAGAGGACAAGGAAACGCCTTTTTGACAGTAAGAATTTCAATTCTGAAAACATGATGCAATTTATCAAATCTAATATAAAGTTTATAAATAAATAGTTGATAATAAAATATATTTATAATTGTTATTATAATTACTTGATAAAGAGCTTGAATATTTTTTATTTTATTTGTTATTGATTAATTTGTTTCACAACACCCACTTCCAAACAATCATTGACGATCAGCTAGTGGTACCAACATTCGATAAAAAAAAATTCAACTTGAAAAAATTATTAAAACTTTCTTTCTACATATTAATTATTATATTAAAATGTTTAACAAATGTTAATATATTCAAACAATCTCGATAAAACAAATATTTATTAAATAATTAATCAGATTATTATTTCCATCAACAAGTGTTGCCATAATGCAACAGGCCCTATGATATTATCATAGATAAGTTAAACATAAATGGATATCATTATGAATTATGTAACTTATAATTAGAGCTTTTGCAAATGTTAAAGATACAAAAACTTAAATTGATACAGAATAGCAATAATCAATATTTTGTAATTAATCAACTCAAATTAATAAGAAATGATTAACAACAAATTTTGCTATGTTGAACCTACTTCACTTAAGTTTAATAATGAACAACGTTCTGTTCGATTTAAAATGGTGACGAGTGAATGTTTAATATCTGTCGTGTTCTATTTTAAATAGTAAACAATCATAACGAATTTAATAAGCTCAGAAATTAATGTTTCAAAGGTAAAAAGTTTCATTATTTACATTTTAATGTTAAGAGTATTTTTTCAAGTTCTAGTGAAAATCATATCATGGCGGCGTAAGTTGACAAAATAATTTTAACACATATTTATTTTCGTTATTATTTAAATGTTTAAGTTTATATCTTCAAGATGATTAATTGTTATCCGTTATATAGAAAATGTACTTATTTTATTTGTTTGGAATTTATGAATGGACAATCTAAACCCAAGCCAAAATTAAGTAGTTGAACTGCATACGAAGGTTCAAATTGCGAAATAAGTAATTTGAAATAATTTCATAAATTTGAGAATTTATATCGTTGATACAACTACATCTAAGAAAGGTGAGAAGTTTCATTATAGAGATTATAATTTTAAGTATTTATTAAGAGTTGAAGGGCATATTGGCATAGAGACCTAAGCTAACTGAATTATTTAAAAATATATACATGTTTATTTTTTCATACTTGAATGGAATTTATATCTTATCTTTATATCACATGTTTATCCAAATGGAAATAGTAAAACCATATGATTATAGGTAGCTATAATCTGTACAAGAAATTGAAGTTAACATATATCTTATGAGAATTGCTTTAACTAAGAAACTAAGCCCAAGCAAAAATTACCTAAGTTCAAATTATGAAATAAACAAAGGGCAAGCAATTTTATTTTTTTTGCATTTTATTTAAATTCCAATATAAGAAATGTGATTCATAACAGTGACGATTGACAAATCGTGATCACTAACAATTACACAAAATGTAAAATTTCTATCGAAGATGCAAAGCTTACTCATACAAATACATGCAAGAAGTTTCCATGGTAAGAAGTTTCATTACTCACATTTTAATTTTAAGTTTATATTAAGCGTGCAAATAGACCTAAACTATCTGAATTATTTGGAAAGACATACATATTTATTTTCTTTAATATTTGAATGATTTAATTTGTATCTAAAAGATAATTGTTAGATAAATTTAAATTATCTTGTATTTTAATTAATTCCAATATTAAGAATGCGATTCAAATGTTGACGATTGATTGTTTAATATCTGTATGTTTCATCTTTTATATCTTTATTGTTCTATTTTAAATAGTAAACAATCACAAATAATTTAATAAGCTAAAGAATTTCTATCGGAGATCTATACAATCATACAAAGCAGGAAGTTTCAAGGGTAAGAAGAATCATAATTTACGTTTTAATTTTAAGTTTTTCTTAAGCGTTCAAGGATTTATCTGATGATAATAATAAGTATTAATAATTATTTATATATTCAATATTTTAATTTATATCTGAGAGATAATTGTTATCCGTTGTAGAGATAATGTATTTCTTTCTCTTAATTGAAATAGTAATAGCGTTTGATTCTTTAGGTAGCTATAATCTGTGCAAGAAATTGAAGTCAGCATAAGAATTGTGCTGTTTGTTTGGATTTTATAAGGAGACAAAATTGATTCCAAGCAAAAATTAAGTAATTGAACTACATGAAATTGCACGACAAACTATGTTCAAGCCAAAATAAAGTAATTAAACTACATAAATGTAATACAAAAGTTTAAATTGCGAAGTAACAGATAGGGTAAGTAAATTTAAATTATTTTATTGTACTGTACTTAAATGCCAATCATATTTTTCTATCATGCTATGACTTGTCGTGAGATACAATCGTTTTTTACATTAGTTTTTTACACCCAAATTAATTCATTTATTTCTGTATGAAGTAAAATACTTAAAATTTAATAGAACTAAGGAAAGTGTGAATACTGTGAATACACATAAGCATTTTAAATATGAACAATAGTAAAAGTATCTTATCAAAATGCACTGCGTTGTTTCTTGCATTATTTATAATAGTAATTTTAATGTGGCAAATGTTTCGGGACTAAGGTTTGTCTCAACTTTGGCGCAAATATAAATATATATTAAATACTTAAAAGTCTTAGTCTTCTTATATATGAAAATGGAGCTCTCTATAAACTGATCCGCTAAAACTCGAAAACGGCTAAACCGATTTGGCCAGCCTTAGTCTTGAAAAATTCATGCTAATCAGTAGGTTGTCGGAAAGGTGAGATTATTTCAAAACCGCATAGAAAATTTACATTTTTAATTTGATTTTTTTTGTAGAAGTGTAATTTAAATAAAACAATGAACGGTTGCTAATACGTCAAATGTCAAACGTTTTTGACAGATGATGTTCAATTACGTTTAATATGATGTTTTACGTAAATATTATTTGATTATGTTTAAATTGTAGTAAGTAGTTTTGTTTGTAGTTTTATTTGTATACAAAAACGTTAGTAAAGCGGCTAAAAACTCAAAATATCAACTTTTTTGAAATGTTAATATGAAAATGTAGCTCTGAAAGATTTCATTTGTATCATTATATACTCATTGGTATTTATAAAACATTTTCTAGGTTATATTATTTTTTATTTATGTTATTTCAATTCAGAACCTAAATTTGGTACCGATCAAAGGGACATTTTGTCGAATAATATTTACCCAATTATAATTTCCCAGAATTTATCGAAGAATAGATAGTAATATATAAAGGTTCGGGGTTAATAAGGTCCACCGACGATGTGTCAAAAACCAGTAAACTTAAGCATTGTTTAACAACAATATTTGAAAGTAGAGGGAAAAAGATGTATGTCATCCCAAAATATTAATATTTTTTAGAAATTGTTTAGAATATACTTCACTTATCAAAACAACGTTTGCCGGGTCTGCTAAT